CTGTATTTGTTTTTCTTTTACTTACTTTTGTTTTTACTCTCCAAAATAAGAGAAAATTATAATAAAAATATTCTTACACTATTAGTTTGCTCAGCAATTCTTTCAATTGTGAGCTACACTAGTATTGCAATGAGATTCTGATTCCACAGAACCATATGAAGAAAGTAGTCCCACAGCCACACGGATACCCAGTGGCTAAACCTCACTCTTTCAGTCTTTAAGATAGTGTTCTCATTATGGCCCTTTCCTGTCGCTCTAATACTCAGCACATGTTCTCCAACACATTTGGAAATCAAGGCTATGGCTAAGTGAGAATTCCTCTTGAAAAGCATTTCATTGTTCCTGTTGACTGACCGGTAATTCCACAACACAGCACCATATTAACACACTCTGATTTGCTTTTTTCCTGGGAACTCTTATGCAAAGAAATACTGTGCTGCATACCATAATATTTCCATATCAAAAAGTTGTAAACAAAGAAGAGAGGATAAAGCAAAACACATGCAGGCAGAGACTGTGCCAGGGAGATGACAGTACTATGAGACACAAGTGTAAGTCAGATCATTTTTTGTAGTGGGGGCTGTTCTGTGTATTATGGGATGCATCCCATCAGTTGTGGCCTACTAGATGTCATTAGTACTCTCTCCAGTTGTGACAACCAAAGATGTGTCTAGACACTGCTAAATGTCTCCTGGGCAGGCGTAAGGGGACAAAGGGCAGAACTGTCTCTGACTAAGAGCCATAGAGCCAGACAGCTACATGGAGTCAAATAAAAACTTGCTGAGGAAAGTTAATTTGCTTTTGTACAATGAAATACTACCTCCAATTTACAGGGGCCCTATTGTGTGTCTGATTTTATACAGATATGTTTTATTTCTCATAAGAACTCCCCCAGAATTATTTACTTCAAAATTAAAAGATTGAAATGCAGGGAGATTAATGATCTCATAGTATTGAAGGCACAGTGTCAGATTTGGAACCTAGAGGTAGTTGATGAGAATTCCACTACTCCACACTGGATCTTTTCTTCTTGTTCTTTTGAGGCTGTCAATAGTGCCCAAGACAGAAAAGAAAGAAAGTGGGCAGAGTCAGCTGAAAAGCAAGCAGATGTAAGGTGACAGCTCTGCTGAATTCATGGCACTTACTGTTCGTCTTCAACTTCCCAGGCTCGCTGCTGCGGTTACCTGCCTGGTTGATGGCCTTGACCATGAAGATGTACTTGGTGCCACTCTGCAGACCATGGACTGTGTAGTGGTTCTGTTTAATATTGGGTACGATCATCCAACTGTCAGCGGAGTTACACAGACCTGCAGAGCCAGCCAGACAGGTGCAAACATGGTCAGTGTTGTGTAATTTTAGTTTACATGAACTGTAAGAGTTGGCAAGCCTAGTGCTTTTTTGCCACATTTTCTTAACCCACAAATGAATGCTCAGTGTCCTATCTACAGTTGGAGGACAATCTGTGTTATAGGTTCCTGTCATGTGCTCAAGATGCACAAGCCACTTAAAATTGTTATATTGCAAAATCTGGTCTGTGTGAATAGAAGCAGTCAAAGTGGTTCTATCTGGGATCTTAAGCACTGCATATGTGTATGGTGTGTTACTAGATGATGGGGGATGAAATAAAAGCAACCACTGATTCCTCTATACCTTCAACCCATTTTTATAAGACTGATCAATTTTAGATTTATCAATTCTGAGATTCACAGCTGGTTAGTACACTTGAGTCATCTGCTGGAAGCCAATTTTACTAACATAGATTTGGTAGATTGTATTTTTGTTCCTAATTCCTCACTCAATCCTGTATTTCTCCTTAAGGACTGTGGTTACTTGCTCTAGGGTGTGGGATATATTTCCTTGTCACATGGCTTTGTATTTGGTCACATGTCCTACTTTGTCCAACAACATTAGGCCAAACTGATAATCTTCCAGTTGTGAGAGCAAGTGCTACAAGGTCTCAAGGGGTTGTGTTGATTCTTTGCATCTCTGCCATTTCCATGCAGGCAACATTTCTGAGATAATCTTTCTACCTTAGCAGAGGGGACACAAGGAACAGACTAATCACCAGACCAAGGCAGGAAGACCCCCAGCAGAGATTGGACAACCCCCCAACTAACCTCGAACTGGGGGGCGAGAGAATAAGAAACTGATCATCAGGGTAGTTTGTGATCTTGTGTTATTTCGATTCAGAACACATTCATGAGAGATCTCTGAAGCAGCAGCATCTATGGGGAACTCAGGGTCCAGAGTAGATCTTGGGAAAGCACCCACATGGAATTTTGGATCATCTGCATCCCTGGGGTGGCTGGCTCCAGAGTGAAGCAGGATGCTGCTCTGGCTGCATTCTACAGGATGTGGCTGGAGAGCAGGCCAAGGATTTATGATGCTTGGAAGCAAAAAGGAAGCCCATTTTGTTTTGCAGCTGGCTGATGCTGGAAACATCTTTTTGGTATCAGGCCCAACTCTCCCTCTCCTCTCTCCACCCATCAATCTCCACTCCATAGAACTTTTTCCCAACCCCCTGGTGACTGGGCTGTTATGAAGTTTCCTTTCTGTTGAATTTCCTTCACCATTCCCTGGGAGAGGGCTAGACCCCTCACTTCCTGAGGGGCTCCAAACTAGCCTCCCTTTGCCTTCTTTTTTGCTTGCTTTGTAAGTCAAAGGGTTAATTCCTTTAATCTTCATGCCATTTATGTCTTACCAGACTCTCAAGGAGCAGTTTTCCTTAATCCTTTTTTTGGTCTCACCCCTTTGAGAATCTAATAAAACCTTTCTGTAAAAACAAATTCACAAATGCATATACACACTGAACCACAAATATTTTCACAGCAATGCAAGGTAGTCACAGACTTCCTGAAGTCTGTATCATACTAAATATTCCTGCTAGTCTCATAGATGAGAGGGACTTTTTGGGTGTTTTGTCACCTGCCAAAACTCACCTCATATGATTTGTATGTTGAATGCACTATTATTTTCAGGACCTTTTTATGAATGCCACTTCTTTTTCATTTTCACCTGTGAACACTTTCACCAAAGGAAGGCCAGATTTAAAGAAGCAAGCATAAGTCAAGGAAATAATGTGAGGCTTGCAGAGGAGTTGAAATGACTGAGTGTGGGTGGCTGTGCATGCGTGTGCAAGCCCGTACATATTTAGAGATTTAGAAAAGCAAGCAGAGGCACCATCTACTCTTCCTTCCCCAATTTCCCCCAGCTCTTAGCCTATTTGCTACCATGTCTTATTTGTGTAAGATTCCCAAAATATTCACACAAATAAAATAGTAACATGTGAATCTCCCACTCTCCATCCCTGTTGATCTTTTCTGGATTTACCATTTTTTTCAACATATTTGTAACACACTTTGTACTTCTGGATAATCTTATAGTCAAATACTAGATTTTGACCCAACCAAAGATGGGTCATGTTCAACTCTGAGCTGTGGGCCCCAAAAAGCCTGTAATTCATCTTAGGCATTTAATACTATTAGGAAAATAGTAGTAAAATTAGCTTTTACATTGCATAGGATAATCCAGTCATATTCTTAGATCTTTGTCAACAGCAGTCAGGCATAAATGAAAACAATAACAGTAGATTCAAATGAGAATCCTATCAATTTCACTGGTTTTGCACTGTTCCTGTTTAATTGCACATGTTACAATAAAATGATGACTGTGGTCAAAGAAAGCAAATGTAAAAATGTTTCAATAAACTTTAAATCACTGTATAACTCAAAAGCTGGGTTTAATGTGGTGGAGGAATGCTTTCAGCAACATCATAAAGCAGATGTCTGAAATTGCTGCAAACTGTAACTTGGCCTACAATCCAAAAATCTTAACTCAACAAAGATTTAGTGTCTCAGGAACCTTTTCTAAACAAACAAAAAGGACTCTGACTATCCTGATTATTTTGAAGAGGTCACTAATTTACTCCTTGAATATTAAAAGAACAATATATTTATGCAGTTGTCAAATTTTATTGGTTAACTTCACCCTGGAGTGACCTACTTTCAGGAATACTAACAATAGTGACTATCTGAGATTACCTTTCTATTATTATTATGGCCATGATAATGCAGAAATTGATTAACAATGTCAAGAAAATAACACCAACAATGCTCTTCCTGGGGAGGGAGTTAAATGAGGTGCCTTGGAGGGCACCATTACTGCATTGCTAGTCCTGGGCTTAGGCATCGCCTAGCTTCTTACCTATGGTGCCAAGTGCCGAGTTTGCTCAAGTGAGACTTCTCTGTTTTGACATCCCACTGCCTTAGGATGGATGACCGGGTTTATGTATCTTTTTATGAAACACTCCACAACCATCCATCCTAACTAAAATTTCACTTGGTTCTAAACTCATTTTTAATCATTTTTGAGGGTGCTCCAATGTTCACCTCTTGCAACTCAGCTTGAAGTATTAAAACAATAGAACTTGGAAGATAATTAGTTCATAATGAAGCCTAATTGAGATTTTTGATTTTATACGTTTTTTTCACTCACAATGGGTCAAAAGCACTTCCCTGCATAATTCATCTCATTATAAGATTTTAATTACATTTGGGATTTCTAAGTCTTCTACAGCAGTTATAACTTTGCAGCAAAATATTATGTCCAAAATGCTATACAGCGTGTGCAGTCTTTGGAGAGGTTATACACTGGCTTCTAGAATCCTTAGTCTCTTTGAACAGATCACACAAAAGTAACATCCTTTTCCGTCTTCTCTACAAAAAACAGTATGTGTTTAATAACATTCATGGATATTTTCAGAATGACTAAAATAAATACATATAACTACTTTGCCACATGGCTTGAAGAAATGTGGCTTTTGTTTGATTCTAACAATAAAAGTAGCCTGCTGAGAAAAGGCTCCAATGTAAGATTGTTAAATAAGATATTAAAAGTAGTTTAGGAAAAAAATGTGGAAAATATTGTAAAATTAAACATATATAAGTATTAATAAACTAAGATATTAACATTTGTAATTAAAACACTACCAAGAAAAATAAAACATTACCATTAATTTTGCAGGTAGATATGCATATTTCATTTAGAGGGGGCCCTCACAGGATTAAAAAGCCTGATTACCTAATTCTCTTCCCTAAATTCAGTGGAAGGCAATTATTTACAATTTGCTACACCTGGCCAAATAGCTCAGAGGATTAAAGCGCCTGCAAGCAGGTGTAGGGGTGGGGGGGGGGGGGGGGGGCAGGGGCCAGGGATTCGATCCCTGGGCCTGCCATGCTGGCCCTGCCCCCAGGGTGCACTGAGATGGGGATTGAGACTGGGCGTGGTGGCGCATGCCTGTAATCCCAGCTCTTGGGAGGCTGTAAAGTGGCGAATCACTATGACTCCAATCTAGTAGTGAGGCCCTGAACACCCTGTAGACCTTTCCCTAAAATACAAAAACAAAACAAAACAATTTACTATTATTGTAAGTAAAGGAGTCATGACCTAGAGACAATAAAAAAAAAATCTAGCAGTATATGGAGCCACAGCACGTTTTGCACACGGTGTATCTCCCTAATTTCAGTAGCATATTACTGTTAGATTGAGTCAGCAAAGGCTACTCCTCCATGTGATGAGGTGGAAGAACAAGCCACGTTCAAGGAAGGCCTTAGACATGGAATTTTTGTGAAAAGCTATCATCTACATAATCTTGGCAAACTATACATTTGATCCTTATTGTATAACATAAAATAATACCCTTTTAAAGTACATTGGGCTGACCAAATAGCTCAGCAGATTAAAGCACTTGTAAGCAGGCTCAGGGGCTGGGGGTTCAATCCCTGGGCCTGCCATGCGCCCCACCCCACCCCACCCCCTGTGCTCTGAGATGGGAATTGAGACTGGGCACAGTGGCGCACACCTGTAATTCCAACTCTTGGGAGACTGTAAACAGGAGAATCACTATGAGTCTGATCTAGTAGTGAGACCCTGAACACCCTGTAGACCCTTCCCTAAAGTACAAATAAATGAATAAATAGATAAATATAAAAAAATGCATTGATGGTTAGTTAGTGCAGTGTGTGTTTTTGTATGGATTTTAACTGCAAATATTTATATGCTGGCACTGTGGTAAACATAAAGCTAAGGCGTTTACTTTCTATCCTAACGATGTGCAGTAAAAACCATTGGTACTACTTATAGATGAGCAGATTGGGAGGAGATTAATTTCGTAACGACTACAGAGCTAGTGAGGTGCAAAGCTGAGACTCAAATTTAGGTTTCTCTCAGTAGGTATAAGTGCAAATGATGTGAGATGTTTGCATTTCAGTTCAATTTTCATCTACATGTTCTCTTTCCTCCTGTAGGC